GGACTCTATCTAGCTTTATAGTAAGTCTTGTAACCAGGTAGTGTTAAGTCCTCTAACTTTGTTCTTCTCCTTCACAACTGTTTTGGATATTTTGCATCTTTTGTAGTCTGTATACATTTTAGAATCAGCTTGTCATTTTTACAAAACTGCTCACTGAGATTTTGACTGGGATGGCGTTAAATATATAAGTCAATTTGGAAGACTTTGCATCTGAAAAATGTGGATTTTTCTGTTATAGAATGTGTTGTTTTTATTGTATTTTTTGTTAAATTTATCTCTAAAAATTTCACTTTTTAACCCTTCCGAATGGTATTTTATATTTCAAGTTCAATAAACCAGAATACTTATTAATAAATAGAATTGTAATTTATTATATTTGTGTCCTGTGGCTTTGGTAAATTTATTATTTGCAGTAGATTTACAGCAGATTCTTCAGCATTTTTTCATAATCATCACATATGAATAGAGATAGTTTTGCCTTTCCTTTTCAAATCTATGCTTTTCTTTCTTTCTTGACTTGTACTGGCTAGAACCTCCAGGGCAATACTGAAGAGAAGTCAAGGTCGGATATCCTTGTTCTAGACCTGATCTTATTGACAAACCATTCAGTCTTTCACTACTAAATATGCTAATGTTAGGGTTTTTCAATATGTCTTTTATAGGTTGATGAAATTCTCTTATATTACTAGTTGGCAGAAATTTAATCCATGAATGCATCCTAATTTTGTCATGTTTATTCTGCATCTGTTGAGATAATCATATAGGTCTTTTTTAATCTGATAATAAGATTTATTGATTTCTAATAAATTCTAACCTACACTTTAACTTTTCACCTGGTTTAGTTTTTCGGAAGTTTCTTTTCCTACTTTAAAAATTCAGGCAATATTTACATAAGATGTCCCTTTTTAGTACCATGAGTTCTGACAAATGTATACAGTCATATAACCACACCCACAATGAAGATATGAGATGGTTACATCACACCCCCAACTTCTCCATGTTCCTTTTGCAGCTAACTCCTCCCCCTACATTCTAACCTGCCAACTACTGATGTTTTCTATTCCTTTAGTTTTGTGCTTATAAGAATGTCTTATGTAGCCTTTTGTATCTGCCTTTAGGATAAGGCATAGGAGATTCATCCCTGTTGTTACATCTATCAATAGTTTGCTTCTTTTTATTGCTGAGTATTCCATTGGAATATTGTCTGTAAACTTTAGGAGCAGGCAAGTTTGAGTCAGTTAGCTATAGAACCATTTCAGATTTAAATCAACTCTGCAATACCACATGACTGAGACATGAGGCTCTGGGATCTCAAATGAGTACTTGTACATTACCTAGCACTGGCTGATGAGAAAAACACGGAACATTTTCTCAGGTCCCATTGTGCCCTTTGTGAAAATTGGGCTGCAGGGGAGGTGGGTGGGGGATGTGGTAATTGGGTAATGGGCATTAAGGAGGGCACTGGATGTAATGAGCATTGGGTGTTATAGGTAATTGATGAATCACTAAATTCTATCCCTGAAACTAATAATACACTCTATGTTAACTAACTTGAATTTAAATAAACTCTAAAAAAAGAGAGAGAGTGGTAGATGGGGTAAGAGGAAAGCTTTGACCTACTGGAAAAGCTAGAGAGTTACACAAGAAAAAAAGGCAGATGCTGAAGATGAGGAGACACTCAGAGAGTCAAAAGCTAATGAGCACTGGCTAAGAGAGGGAGTTTGGAAGTTTATAAACGAGAGAAAAGAGGAAGAAATTTGGATTAGCTTCTGTGTTATGGCAAGGGAGGCTTCCGAGATGAGACGTCTGAAAGGCAGTGTTGTCCTATGTGATAAATATCGTGTCAATCTGTGTGTGTTCTAAGATACTTAAGTAAAATGTAAACATTTTTTCCTTTAAAAACAAGAAAGAAAAGCTTTTGTTTGAGACACAATGTGAACTTAGACCCTAGAGTATGGCTGCTTTCATGTCTGTGGTGTTCAAGGCTCTGTCAGGACACTCAATACGCGAAAGAGATGGTCTCACACAGAAACTGCTCGTTTCTCTAAGGCTTTTCTACTCTAGCTTCTCACATTTCCCCCAGATTAGGTTAGATTATTGGAAAGAAATGTACCTCATTTCTCATGAGAGGGAACTGAATAACTGAATTAAATAGAAATTATGTGTTGCAGATTTCTCATGGAAATAACTGGATTAGGACCTTTTGAAGAAAGATTTATTTTTCCAAGACTACAGTTTGAAGTACTTTGATTTTTAATAAGCAATATTTTTATAAATTCATCAAAATCTTTTCTATAGATACATCCTCAGGAAGTCTGTCCAGATGGCTTCCTGCTTTCTCCACCGGTGTTCAGCCAGGAAGCCCAATGCCATAATAGGTGCTCATTAGCAGTACATGACAGCATCCCTACAAACACATGTCTAAATTTCTTTTTTTAGATTTGGAGAGGGGTGTTGTTTCATTTATTTGCCCCACTAAATACGAGCCACTCAATTCCTAAACACACACGCACACACACAATGCGTCTTGTTTTGGGTCAAGTACTTTTATGTCTATACATTATTTTCATTGTCCTTCAAAAAGAATTGCAAAGTTTCCAAAATGAAGTCAGCAGTATGTCCACTTCAAGACAGTAGACTCCTCTTTAACCCAACTGTCTATATGTGGGATAAATTATCATTTATCCATCACTTTAATAGAGAGGCGGGAGGCAGAAGGGACAGAGGAACAGCAGGAGAAATAAGGGTGACGGTCCTATCTATATTACACCTAAGTGAGCACGATGGAACATGGGTGGTGGTGTTTTCTTTTTTAAAGACCTAAATCAGAAAGTAAAAAGCACAAAACTTAAGTGTTCAAGGGTATTAATTTTTTAATATACCTCTAAGATCACCACCCCTATCAGTTTAGAACATTTCTAGCACCCTAGAAAAAAATCATGTTTGCCTGTAATTTTAAAAAGACGGTTAAAACCACTGGGATAAACATTATTCAAGGTATTCTAACAACACCTACCACCAATCCTTCGATAGCTCAGTTGGTAGAGCGGAGGACTGTAGACGTTCAGACATGGTCATCCTTAGGTCGCTGGTTCGAATCCGGCTCGAAGGATTTAACCTTTTGACAGGTTTTCATTGACGCCGCTTGCGTGAACCCTTTGCGCAGATAAGAAAACTTAAGCAGTTGGGCATATTGTCGTTTGTGCTCACAGATGAACTTGTAAGACTGAAAATAATAATAAAAAATAAATAAGCGATCCGCAGGTACATACACAAGAAGCTGCGCATGTAAGACCGGGTCTCCAGGGAGACTGACTTTTCACGGAGTTTGGGCAAGGGTCATGGGGCGCGTGAGAACGGGAAGGACCTCTTGGCCCAAAGTTTTCAATTTATTTTGGAGGTCCCATGGCCTTTCTGTTATGTGGATATTTAAGTGAATAAACATTAATGGGAATTTCAAATACACACAAAGTAGAGAAAACAGCATAAATTACCATCAGAGGCATCACACCTGTCCACTGGCATCCTCTGTCCCCCCGGATGCCCCCTTCTCACCCCCGACCTCTTGAAGCAATACCAAGATGCGCTCTCTCATCCATCGTTGCTCCGTGTTTTGAAGACAGGAATTCAATTCCTCTTACCGCCCCCTGCCGCCTCCAAAAAAAGAAGCGGCGAGCAACTGACAGAAAGTTCCCTTCCATAAAATTAATGAAACTGGTGTAAGAACTCGAGGAGGCTGGCTTTTAGCTCTTTCGCCCACTCCACGAAAGAGCGTGGCGCCATGTTCCGGCAGAACTAAACTGGGACGCCTGCCTGGCAGGAGATGTCACCTCGGATGGTAGCTGTGGACCCCTTGCCCGGTTTCTGTGCGCACCCACCCGTTCCAGCGGGATAGGAAATTCTGTCCCGCTGCAGCGAGGGCGGGTTTATACTATGCTTACACTCGTCCGGGCCCCTTCCAGAAAGCCGGCTGCACGGCTGCTCCGCATTCGTGGCGGCTGGTCTTTGCAGTCCGCCCAGCAGCAGGTGCGCGTGGGAAGAACCGCGGTGCCAAGAGCGCGCGGACGGCGCCCCCTGCCGGGCGGCCCTCGCATTGCGGGAAGGGGCTGCGCCCGGCGCCCGCGGGAGAGGCCTCGGCTGGGGTGCAAGGACCGACCGCCCGCCCCGCCGCGCCGCGGGGCCCGCAGCAGACGCCGGTCCCGGGAGCGCAGGGTTAGGCGCGCCGCCCCGGGGTCGCCTCAGTCCGGGCCGCGTGTACACAGGACAACAGGTGTTTATAATACCAGTATGCATCACGTGTCAACGCCAATAACGTTTTGGAAACAGGAGCAATAACTGTTGCCCATTAAAATTCTCTGGACATCTTATTCACAAAATCAAATTGCAAATTAATATTTTAAGTACACAAAATGTTTTAAACTAAATGAGATCACAACTGAAGTACTCAAAATCTAAGTTTCCAAAACTTGTATTGGCAAAGTTAAGCTACATTTTCAAAACTTAAAAAACATTAACTCGAAGTTAAATGTTGAAAAATAATTCACATTTCAAAACTCAAGACGATTTTATATACTGAAGTTTAAGTCAACCTTAAAGGCGAATCACCCCCAGCCGGAGTCGCACCCGGGTCCCCTGGGTAAAATGCTGTTTCGATCTCCCAACTCCCCAGAGCTTTCCCACATTTCCAGAAGAGCCCGCCTCCGCGTTTTTCCATCTCGCCGAGGCGTTCTCTAGGGCACGTCCACTTGCGGACCTACCCGCTCGGCTCCGGCCTCTCCAGCCCCGAGCCCCGCCAGTTCGGCCACCCCGAGCCTCAGGTCCCGCCTTCCCGCTTCGAATCCCGCGGCTGACCCGGCCCCCACTTCCGCTCTCTCCACCCAATCTGGTCCTGCCATTCATCTCCGCCCCGTCGGCCCCGCCCCCTCCCGCCGGCCGTCGCACGCGCTGTGCGGCAGACGGCGCGGCGCTTTACGGCTGCCGTGCTTTTCGTCTCCGCCGGCATGGAGGCGGAGGAACTGGAGAGGGAAGGTTCGGAGCCGGAGCCTCTGGAAGGGACAGATCAGAAACCAGAGGCGGCGGAGGAGCAGGAGGAATCCGAAGAGGCGGCTTGTGGCGCCAAGAAGCGGGTGGTGCCGGGTATTGTGTACTTGGGCCACCTCCCGCCCCGCTTTCGGCCTCTGCATGTACGGAACCTTCTCAGCGCGTACGGCGAGGTCGGGCGCGTTTTTTTCCAGCCCGAGGGTAAGAGCGCAGCCCTGGCTGTGTGGCGCTCGCCGGCGGTGGGCTCGCCTGCGCGGGTCCGAGGCGCTGTGGGGGCACGGGCCTCGAGGCCGGCGCCCGGCTCCTTTGGGGGGGGCCGGGATTGGATGTGGGGAGCTCAGTAAGCGCAGATGAGTAGTTCTCGGATAGTTACCTTTGGCTTGTAGTGTCTGCTCCGCACACCCCCCGTTCCTGAACCGAATCTACCGGCTTGTGAAATGAGCACGCCCTGGATAAAAGTCTCAGAGGCTCTTTCACAGAACTGAACCCATCCCCTTTGTCGTCGTGACCCAGGTCTAGAGACAGTGTATGATCAGCTGACCCCAGCTTTCCTAGAGGCACTAATTGAATTGGGATTCGGGGCGTGTGCATGTGCAGAGCAGATCTCGTGCAGGAGTTGACGGCTGAGGAAAAGACTGAGTTAGACGTAGGGAAAGGGTGTACGGGGAGAGGATGTGGACCTTGCAGTTCTCTTCCCCGCAAAGGCCTTGAGGTGGGGTCCTGGCCCGCGGGCGAGTGGGAGGTGAAGTTAGTTGGCTGCCACGTCGGCCTCCTAAACCACTGCTGTGTCTTTGGCTCAGACGGGTTCGTGAGGCGCAAGAAGAAGGCAGCGGCAGCCTCGGCCGCGGGAGGCAAAAAGCGGTCCAGGTACAGCAAGGACTACACCGAGGGCTGGGTGGAGTTCCGGGACAAGCGAGTAGCCAAGCGCGTGGCGGCCAGTCTTCACAACACGCCCATGGGAGCCCGCAGGCGCAGCCCCTTCCGTTACGACCTGTGGAACCTCAAGGTGAGGGGTAGGCTTGCCTGCCTCGTCTCGTCCTCTGCCTTCCCAGCCCAGGCGCCTCATTCCCTTCTGTTGGCCCCACTCTCTCATCTCCTCTCCATCCCTGACGTACCCTACCCAGATCTTTTCTTGTTTTCCTGTCCACAGTACTTGCACCGTTTCACGTGGTCCCACCTCAGCGAACATCTTGCCTTTGAGCGCCAGGTGCGCAGGCAGCGCCTGAGGGCCGAGGTTGCCCAGGCCAAGCGTGAGACTGACTTCTATCTTCGAAGTGTGGAACGGGGACAGCGCTTCCTTGCCGCTGAGGGGGACTCTGCTCGCCCGAGTGGCAGCTGGAGCTTTGCCCAGCGTCCTACTGAGCAAGAGCTGAGAGCCCAGAAGGCGGCTCGGCCAGGGGGACGAGAACGGGCTCGCCTGGCAAAGGCCCAGGACCAGGCTCGCTCCAGCCGAGGGCTGCTTGCCAAGATCTTTGGAGCGCCCCCACCTTCGGCGAGCATGGAGGAACCCTGACCAGTCAGGGACTCTTGAAGGGTGGACAGACCCCCTTCCATCTCTTGGCCCTGCTTCCTGTCTACCTGATAATGACTATGTTATGTTTCTAAGACCAGGAGTCTGGTGGGGGCTTAGACATTGATGTCCTGTGTTCCTCTGGTCCCCCCTCCAACTCCGCTTGCCTGGCTGAGGCACCTAATTCATACTAGCAAGAGTGTGACTACTGCGAGATGCCAATTTTGTTTGATTCTTGGCTGTCCGCCTCCCCAGTGAGATCCTCTAAAAATCCCACTTTCTGGACCCAGGAAGAGCCTTTACCTCCAGCTAGAGTGATAATGTCGAATCCAGGCAGCTGTTCTACCAACTGTAGTTGAAAGGCAGCAGCGACATCCGTTTTGTTTAGAAAAGATTAACAGGGCCAGGGGTTAGTGGGACGGACTGGGTTGGGAGCCACCTTCCAAATGTATGTAAAGAAAAAAATTACGTACTTATGTGCCTTTGTAGTTTATCGGGGGTGGGGGGCATTTTATAGGTTCTGACTTCTGTCTTCTCATGTCCTGTTCATTCCCCTTAACTTCATCTCCTGGTCTCAGAGCCACCATTCCTCTCCCACACCCCCAGTTTAGCTTGGACCCTTTTCTATCTATCAAATTAATTTCTTAGCCCATTTTACCAGTTATGTAGTTCAGCATTTACTAAGTCACTGTATGAGGACATAGGGATAGTAGGTAATGACACATGGCCCTTGGTGTTAAGAGTTACCACTAGAAAGAGACATTTAAGAAATAAACGTACAGAGGCATTGCAGGCATCATGGTACATGTATATAAGGGGTAGAGTAGGGGCCATGGGAGGGCATGGTTGACTCTCTCTGGGAAGGGAAGCAGTGCTTAATATGGAGCTGATTCCGGATAACACGCTTCAGAGATGGGGCAGTTTTCACCAGGTTTTCCAGATCAGTCCTGAAAAGTGAACAGAAGTCTGACTGAGCCTGGTGTAGTCCTGTTTCTGGAAACAAAGGTCTGTGGATGTAGTGTTGGGTTCAAACCATCGTAAAGGTAGGCAAAGCCTGGGAGGTAGTCAGGCACAAATGATGCCCCACAGGTGCACTTCTGTGAAGTAGGCCTTAGATGAGGGAGGGTTCATAAGCAACATGCAGAGCAGCCCTGGAGGCCACAAAGAATCTATGTAAGCCCCTAAGAGAAACTGAAAACTGGTGTGTCAGAGTAAACTAAACTCAATTACAAAATAAATAAATATATAAATTAAAGCTGGTCGGGCACGGGGCTGGCTCAGTTGGAACATACAACTCTTGATCTTGGGGTTGTGAGCTTGAGCCCCATGCTGGGTGCAGAGATGACTTAAAAAATGTTAGAAAAGGGACACTTGGGTGGCTCAGTTGGTTAACCTCTGCCTTTGAGCCCCACATCGGGTTCCTTGCTCAGGGGGAGTCTGCTTCTCTCTCTCTCTGCCTCTCCCCCTGCTCATGTTCTCTCTCAAAGTCTTAAAAAAAACTGGTCAATATCTAGTCCATTAAACTTATAGGAAGTAGTAGAGTGATTATAATAATTTGGGTTTTGCTTGTACTATTTTTTTTTTTTTTACCCACTGTCCTCAATATAATTACTCATTTGTTCTTTGGGTGAAGTGGATTAATCCACTTCTTTGGCTCTAAAATAAAATCTTAGTCATGTTAAGATTTTATTTGGTAGGTGTGCTTTATTTGGGAGAATAAAGACGACCATACAGTAAAAAATAATGGTTACTTGGTGTAACACTTCCCACAATGCCTATACCTCTCATACCCATCAACAGAGACGTGTGTAATGTTACACCCTCAGTCTTAGGAACTTGTACCCTGGTTTCTGTGAGTTGTGAGTTTGTTTCATGTGGGTTGTTTCCTCAGGTCATGGTACCTTCCAGGTGAGCCAGAAAAATCCAGTGTCAGAATTTGATAAGCTATTCATTTAATCAGAATTCTAAGTGCCCATTGCCCCCTTTGCTAGATAAAGAGAATATCAAGATTAAGAAACTTCTTCCCCTTAGGTCGCTAACAACTTATAAAATAAAACACATATAGGGCTTAATTTTTTGAATGAAATAAAGGTATCAATATATTCAAGGTCAGCATCTCAGGCTCCAGTTCAATAGTTCTGCACAAAGAGCTCACACACAGTGCCTGGTGAACTGGGTAAATCACAGGTGGAGTGAGAAATGAAAATAAGAATGGGTGGAAGAAAATGAATTTCCCAGGAACTGTCAGTTTGATTCCCTGGAGACTAAGCCCTTCGAGGGCAGGAGAACATCTTTTTTACACTTAAATTTTCTCTTTTTTAAATGTGGCCACGAATGACCCTGACATGGGTCAATTTTAGTTGTACAAATATAGTAATCGTATACATTTCCAGAAGTGAACTCAAGGAGTAATCTTGGTAGATAATGTCAAAATGCCTTTTATGAATAAAGTGTAAGCGACCATTTTTGTGATTCCTCTTACAAGCGAGGAAACAGATGATTTAGAAAAATACCAGTCACTGGAAACTGGATATCCCAGACAGAAGCCTCCAGCTTTCTTCGTTCGCAGTGTCTTGGGGATGTCCAAGGCCCTACGCGAGGCTCTGACTCAGCATTCGCTAAGTTTTTAATAACTGAACAAGAGAATATTAACCGTATCCCAAAGACGATCCGGCTAAGTATGCTAGCTAGATTTTCATTTAATTTGTGAGAATGGTCAGAAACAATATTGTCATATAAAGTTTTGGAAGGAAAACGCAAGCTCTAAGCGCTGTCCTTAAACGGAAGGAGCCGTCCCTGGGTGGGCTCGAACCACCAACCTTTCGGTTAACAGCCGAACGCGCTAACCGATTGCGCCACAGAGACGGAGGCGGGAAGCGTTGACTTGTCAGACCTGATCATTTCATTTTCCCAGTCTACACTGTGCGATACACTTTGCGAATGAAGCTTTCGTTGGGTATATGTATTGAAGAACTGTCCCCGCATGATTTTTGTTGTTCCTATGCTTGTTTTCAAAACAAGTTTTGATAATATGATATTACTCTTAGAGAGGAATTTCGGAATGTTGATTGGGTGGGGAGCAGGGCGCGGGACTGCTGTTTACCCGAGTTAGTGTGAATATAATCCAAAAAAGGACATCCGGACAGAATTTATTTTCAGTTCAAAAAGGGAGTTCTTGCTGACCCTTAACAGGCCCTAAAAGGATTCTGTATAGATGAAGACATTAAATGGGAAAGATACCAGGAAGAACAACTAAGAAGGGAAAACCTAGAGGCTCATCAACGCAACCTCAAATTATCGGGTAAAAGTGTACTTCCTGGGAAATTGGATATTCTCATGTACCAAAGTAGGAGAGCAGAGCTATCTTGCTAATTGCAAAGAGAAAATCAAATCTTTACAAAGAAGAGACTTATGTCTCCACTGAAACTAGGGATCAAATTTAACATCATTAACAACGGGACAAATGAACATTATGTGCTTCCTGAGGAAGTCACAGCAAGTACACAGCACATGATATTCTGCCTAAAAGGATTAACTTGAATGTAATTAGGTCTGTTAGACAACTTCTAGCCTTGTCGCTACATTTAGCTATTGCTGTGTAACAAGACACTAAAAAATGTCAGTGGTTGTTTGAGTCATGGTTCTTCCAGAGAAGCAGAACATATATGATAAATCTCCTTCTCTCTCATCTTTCTACCTCAGTCCCTCTCTATAGAGATCTCCCCACTTCTGTATTTATCTATCATCTAATCTATCTATCTATCTATCTATCTATCTATCATCTAATCACTTACCTATCTAATTGGCTTATGTGTAGAGTGGGCCAGCAAGCTGGAAACGCAGGCAGGATTTCTATGTCACAGTCTTGAGAGAGAATTTCTTCTTCAGGAGGAAAAGGAGTGAAACATTAAGATTTAAAATGTTGGTTGAGTAAAATAAGATCTTGGAGACTTCAAAGTCAAAAAATCCACTTAGGGTCTTCGACATAAACTTGAGTATTTTGGAATATACGGTACATGGAAAGGTCTGGATGGTAGTGCAAAGTGACATTAATATGTCCCTAGACAGAGATCACACTAGCTGGGAGCAAGGGTAGAGACAGGTGATCAGAAATATTATGATGTAATGTATTTTTTCTTTGCTAGGAGAATAAGAAGTAGCCAAAAAATGTGCTATTTTGTCTTAGATAAAACTTGGACTTGGAAAGGTTGAGTGACATGCCCAGGGTAACGCGCTGGTGGGTTTCATAATGAATGAACTCCCAAACCTAAGCTCTGAACCATTAAGCTCTAGTATGTTTCCTACTACATGTCGACAGTGAGGAGTACTTCAAAGGGAGTTTCTGGTCTATAGTAAAGAGGATAGTGTCCTGTAAGTTAACATACTGGCTAGTTTCTAGCCATACTTCAAACTAACACATCTGGGTAATGGAAAGCTGAAGCACCTAGTCTCTTGGCTTAAAATGTGCTTTAGAAATATCTGATTATTCTGACCCCGCATCAGAGAGAAGTCAATCAAATTCTTGTGATATGTCAGCACTATTAACAGTCAAAAAGAGGCAAAGACATTTCAAAGGGGAAAGGAATTTTTGACCAATGAGATCAGATTTCTATAACTCTCCATCATCATATCCCAGTGTAAACCCTCCTGTTCAGAATCCAGTTGAACCTTGGTGAATTCTATAGCCACATCCTTGAATGTCACTGTTTCCTGAAAAACCAAACAAATCCAGAATCGCCTAACTGAAGGGCTACAGCCCAGGAAGTGAATGGAATGTAGAACAAAACAAAACAAAGCAAAGCAAGATACGGTTATGACAGAATAAAATATTCTGAGTCAAGACAAGCCAAGTCTATTCATTCTTACTTTGTATCTAGTACTGTGTTTAAGTCTATGTGAAATACAAAAACAAATAAACAAAGAATACCAGTCCACAAGGGACTGGAAATTTTACATGTGAAATAATTTCAAAACTATATAGCAAATAAAGAAATTGTGAAATTCTTTGGTACAGACAAAAG